AACAGCTGGAAAAGTGCCCTTAAAATAAAAGATCAGATGTTGTGCAACCGATGCCCTTTAAAGAGGCTCAGCAAACAGGAAATGTGCCTCGCTGCACCCATTCCTATCAGTTACTGAAAAGCTCACTGTGCTGTTGCCTTCAAGGTAAAGTCATGATGGACAGAAGCGGGATTTAGTGCTCTTTACTCACGATCAAGGTTTCATATTTGCAGATGTATTTCGTGTGTGCAAGCCGCAGTTACAGTGACATACAGCAGGTTGTAAACTTCCTCCGCGTGGATGAATGGAAAGCAGGAGGGGGGAGCGTCATCCATTTTTTATCACGTCTACATTTCCTTCAAAGCCCAGTTTATGTTGCCTATACGGCACCTGTGTCACCTGTGTGGGGGGGGAAGGGTTGCTAGGTAGATGCCTCCTGGGATGCTTTATATTCTTTTAGAAACACTTCTAAACTTACAGCTGCAGGCCTTTCAAGCTCTGAAGTTTTCCACCACCCTATGGCTTATTAACCCCTTAATTACTGTCATTGTGTGATCAAACTGGCCTGATAATAAGACTGTACTGGGATTAAATGCCACTCTTCTTTTTCCTATTAGCATGCATCTTAAAGATATTAAACATTAGAGACAAATCAGAGAGTAACTGATCATATTTATATTTTTCCTACAACGTAAGAAATGAACGATGCAGAAGCTACTTTATTAAAAACACAAGGAAAGTAGACGGGAGCACAAATTTGGATAAACACAGAGCGTCCAAGTGTTATATAATATTTTACATTACGACTGTCCTTCAGAATAAAATTACCTCCATCAAATGGGAGAAGGTTTTTATGCTATTTGTTTGTCTATTCTATTTTTTTATTGGCAGGATTAAGACTAAAATACCGATCCAATTTTTATGTAACTCAGTGGAAAAGTATCCTCCTGGCAAAGACGAATCCATTCAATTTTGGACCACATCCAACTCCAGGAAATTCAATGAATTCAGGCCAAGAGTCAAGACTCAGTCGAGAGTTTTCTGCAGCCGGTTATGACGTTCAATACTGGAGTTTTTGCCTTGTCACTGTAATAACACAGTTTTTGTAACACTGGTTGGAGAGGAAGTGGTTTGTTTTTAATGTTTGGATTAGATAAGAAAGGGCAAAGAAAATCTGGCACAAACTTTCAGGATTTCTGAATGAACATAAAAAAAGTGAAGACATACATCATCCACTGAGGCCGACCATTGCATGACATTGCGCGGTTGCCCAGTCCTAATCATTTTTGTTTTACAGTTGTGTAAAAACGTGTCTGTGTTTATTTAAAGCTCCTCTGATGAAGTTTCATTTTGTGTACACTTTGGCGCCCCCTGTGGTCAAAGTCTGATCTTGTCTGGTTCATGATTTTGTTGTATTTTCTGTCTTTAAAGAATCAAATGAATGACCCGCTGAGAAGTTTTTCTGTGTAAATGTGGAAGAAGAGCCTGTTTCTTCAGCGTGCTGTGAATCTTCTTGTCTGACACCTACCCCGCTTGGCAGCAGATTTAGGGGTCAAAAGTTACAATAAAATATGGTCCATCTTGTCGCTGATGGTCTGGTTTGCTTTCAAAGGTAACCGAGAGGCATCAGGAATAAATATCAGTCTGTTCCATAACCAGTTTGAAACACATCACAGAAGCTTTAATCGGAAAATGAACTCAATTTACCAAATCAGCCCGCATACTGCTGCTAATGCATGTATGAAAAGCTAACGTCAGCTTATGATATCGGCCATGCTGCCTAATGCAACGGCTTTAATTGTTCTATAACAGTAGGACAATAAATGAATGTGTGCATACAAATACTTATATAGTAGAAAAGTGCCCGGCCCAGTGTATTGAAAGTGTATTTAAAGTAGGGAAGCAGTGTTTATACCCGAGAGTTTTCTTCTTCAGGTGTCTTTGGTGCGTTTTGTTTACAGTATCTCTCTCTCTCTCTCGCCCTTTGTTGGGTGCAGACATCATTAATTTAAGCTTCAGGGAGCTCTTTTTCCATTGAGTGTTCACGCTCTGTTGTATTATTGTCTTATTATTAGCGAGTGTTTATGAGCAGTGGCTTGAACCCTGTCTTATTATTATAAACTGTCCTGGCTGAGCTTTTGGTGTAACATGTCATGGAAGAATCTAAATGTATTGTTTACTTTTTGTGTGCTAGCACAAAGCTTTCCGGTGGACACCGCCCAGACAGACCTGTGTTCAGTCAGGAAAAACACCTCAGACAAAGAAGATGACAAATGACTTGAACTGTCTTGATAGGTGTGAATCAGGTGAAGCAGATGTCTTTGCAATCTGCACAGATGAACCTCACCGCCTGCAGATTACAGCTCAGGCCGTGTACTACATAGTTAAAAGAGCTTAAGGCAGTTCTACCTGGCTCGTCATGACGCACCTTCTGCTGCTGCTCTGTCAACATTACAGAGGAGAGTGTGTTTAACCACCAACAGACAGCTTTTGTGTGTCCGGTTGAGCGATCAGGGGGGGGGGCAGGGAAGACTGGGCGGTGATTTCAGTTCATGAAAAACGCGACCGCAGCTGAGACTTTGAGGTTAACTTATCACAACAGTAACCATATCAACAACGGCCACCTTTAAGCTCATTAGCGGCGATTAAAGGAGCTTAACTGGACCCATGTCTCGAGCGGAGAGATGAAAAAGCACGCCTGTTTCCAATACGTCCTTCCTTGGCAGAGAGCCACACCGCTTTTCACAGCGACAAAAGTTAAAAAGCAGAGGTAGCTTTAAAAAAGTCAGACCACAAACTGATTGCTAGTGTTTGATTGGAGGGTGTTAAACATCCACCTGAGAGCAGGTAGAAGGGGGGGGGGGGCATCTGTGCTGCTAAGAGCCTGAGAGTGTCTCTGTTTCTCCCTCCTCAGAACAGACACCTGTTTTTGTTGAACTGACAGGTGGCCTCTTGAGGTAGAAGTCCCAACCTGCTTCTGCTGCTGGAGCTCGAGCCTCGAGGGCAGCCTCACTTCACCCTGTGTGATCCCTGACTGTCTGTGTGCCGGTGCCTCCTGGAGAGCTTAAATGCATGACAAAGACAGCCTCTGTGCACTGTTTATTAAGCCAAAAGAGAAGGCGTTTTCATGAGCAGCAACATCTTAAAACAACTTCCAGTATCTTTACAATGGAGTGGTGATGGTTTCTTGCGTCCAATGTCTGTGGCACAGATTTAAACATCTAGGTTTAGAGGGTAGGAGGGCACAACTTAACACCTAAGAAGGCTCAGACGCTTCCAGACGCTCGCACCCAAGCACGTCACAGATACAGCAAAAATGTTGTGGGTGGAGTCACAGCTTAAACCTTTAAATCCTCCACCCTGCTATCAAACTTTTAAAGCAGAAAAGGTGGCAGATGCTACCCAGGCTGTTTGCTGTCTACATGGTCCAATATCGTAGCAAACAAAAAGGGCTGACACCTCCACATGACTGTTCAGAGAGAGAGAGAGAGAGAGAGAGAGAGAGAGAGAGAGAGAAACTGTGCAGCATGTGAGCTTGAAACCCAGAGTCACACATCGTCTCTTTTGTCCTGTTCTGCAGGATGGAAAGATTTCAAAGCCTACAGTGGACTTTAATCAAGCATGAATGCTGAACATTGTTCATCAGAGCTGAATATAAATAACCTGTCGCCTGTCCGTTCGTGCACGTGAGGCGTCCAGAGAGCTCGCCTCGGTGTCACTGGTTGTTAATGAAAACAGAGATTAGAGGGGATCACGGCAGGAAGGCAGGCCGAGTGGTTCAGTTGGAGCTGACTGCTGACAGGAATGACCTGTGTTACCAAGAACCGGCCCTGACACGGCCTGACTCAAGGTCAACAAGGAATAATAATCGAGAGATTAGCCGCTGCACATCCACATCCACTCAACAAGCCTCAGAGAGAGGGGGACACGAGCTGAGTTCTCCTGAGCAGGAGAGCAGTGAACATTTCAGTCCATGATCATAACAAAGGTTTGTTACACTGGGGAAATATAGGCAGATAAAGTAGAGCTGAGAGGGGCAGGAGAGAGAGGACACATCAGTCCATAAACACCACCAAGGTTACGTTGCATGGGAAAAGAAAGGGAGATAAACCAAAGAACGTCCAGTGCAAACTTTGGCTGCAAAAACTAGCACAACTTTGGTGCAGTGTTGTACATAAAATCTCATATTTTCTTTACACCAAAGGACAATTCTAAAGAAGTTTCCCTCTTCTGGCTCTCTAAATACTGATTACAATTAAAGCTCCTATTGAGAACTTTTTGTTTGTGTTGAATCTGGCGCCCCCTGTGGACAAAGTGATGCATTTGATCTCTTTGCTGATTTTGACGTGTATGCGTTTTTAAACAAAATGCTGTGTGTGCTTTCTTTAACAAGTCAAATGTATTACTCATTAAGAAAATGAAGAATAGGCTGTTGCTGCAGAAACACTTTCATCTTGTCTGACTCCCCATGGCAGTGGTTTTTAGGCATTAACAATCACTTTTTAGAAATTATAAATCTTTATGCAGATGATCTCGTTTGCTTTTGAGTGACAAGCTCCTCACAGGAGCTTTGAATATTTCACATTAAAGCTCCTGTGATGAACTTTTGGTTTGTCATTTCTCGCACCCCTGTGGGAAAAGCGGTTATCTCTGCACTGATGAAAAAAAAAGCTCATCCTGCATTATTTTAACAATTGAATTGATCCCTCACTGTGAAAATGTAATAAAAATGAGTGATGTATCTTTAAGTGTGCTACAAACCGTCTCGTTTGACACCTACCCCCAGCAGTGGTTACAGCCATTACAAATGATGATATAGAAATAGTCAAACTTTCACTAATTGTCTTGTTTGCCTTGGTGAGTCAAATAGAGGCATCACTTTAATTTAAATCTGTTTCATAACCAGTTAAAAGTTCCTTACAAGAGCTTTAAGAAGAACGGGTTTCAGCTCTTGCCTGCAGGCTTTTCCATCTTCAAAATGAGGTTTGATCTGCAGTCAAATACAAAAGAAGATATCCTACCTGTAGCTCACACCATGCCACCTCCACTGTCGTCTCTGTGTCCAGTCCTTTATAGACCGTCTTGAAAGACCCCCGTCCAATCTCTATGTTGAATTTCAGGTATCTTCCATCAGGAGACGTCGCCACCGCTTTGGTCTCCACGTCCTCCTTCTCCTCCTGCTCCCACTGGGCATCAAACGTGATGCGAGACACGATTTTGTTCTGCTTGTTCTGAAGTTCATTTTCAGACTCCGAGCTGACGTCCTGAGCGCTGGATCTCTCCACGGGGTCCCAGTTCCCACCGAGGGAGACGGCGTCTGGCTCCTGGCTGCAGGGGGGCGTGTTGGAGCTGGTGCCCGGGCTGGAAACAGGAGACGGCGACGCTGGAGAGTCGTCGGTTTTCTCATCCTCTGCTCTGGACTCATGCAAAGATAAAATATTCTCAGCAGACCAGGACAAGGCTTTGGAGAGGGCGCCGCTGTACAGGGGCGAGTCGAGGTCCATGCTTATTTTCTGCAGCCCGTAAGAGTTCCTCCGCGCACCCAAACCGTGCGTCCTTAACACGGATGGGACCCGGGATAAACAGTCTTCGGTCATATTCATAGGGAGGCCAGGGAAACCGCGTCCTGGTATCTCAACCTGTGCGTGAGACATCTTGGCAGTTTGAAAGCCTTCTCGATTAGGAGCCTAGAGGTATAATAGAGAACCAATACAGTACCGTTACTTTAACTTCCAAGTTACTTTTCCATGATGTCAAGTAAGTCAGAGGCTTTACATAAAGACTAAACCACAAAAAAAGAGGTTTGTTACATGCGTAATAAGATAGAAAAGAAGCATGCATCTTTATAGAATCGAACATGAGAACACCTACAGCTATGTTGAACCTTAGAAACATCTTAAAAGTAGATAAAAAAAAGGAAGAAAATTCAACTTACTCATCACAGCTGCTGCGTAAAAAGCACAGTTCATAAACGCAGTGCGCAATCAAACGCACCAAAAACGCATAATTCCAATCAAATAATCCGAGTTGTCGTCTTTTCTCCTCTTCTCTTCACAAAGTCCTCAGCCATAACCTGCCCTGGGAAAGGACAGGACTGCCTATATGAACAGAGCTCCGGAGGGATGTGCGTCCCGGGTGCGCTCCAGTCCAGTGCGCGCTCCTGACTCCGCCCCTTGCAGCTTTGACGCGCTAATGTGAGTCTCCACAAGGAGTAACTACAGGGTTTTCTTAAGGAGTCTTGGGAAACTTAAAACTCTTCGAACCCCTCCAAGATTCAAATAGAGAATATCTCCTTTTTATTGCTTATATATGTTTTGCGTAAATGATATCCAAAAAGCTCAATTGAATATCTTTAAAAGGTACATTAAAAGCAAAATTGCATACAATATGAAATAATGGCAATTTTTCTTTTGTCGTACTTTCTATTCAAATGTCGGACACAATCTTTCTCCTGAGCTCTGAACTCTCTCGTTTCTGTGAATAACGATAGATCTGATGAGTCAGGTTGCTCTCTGTCTGTCGTCATATGATCATTCTGAAATAAAAGATATGCGCGCAAACAGAGAGTGGGGGTGAGGGTGGGGGGGTTCTGCAGTGTGCAGGACTAACCTGCAGGGGGAGCCACACAAGAGAGAGGAGTCCCTGCTCCTGCTGCTGAAACATGACGCCTTTATCAGCCAAGGCCACACTGCTGGGCCCCACCTGTCTTCACCTCCTACACACTCCCAAGTGTTATCAGGAAACACACGCAGGATTCCCTGGAGCTGCATCATCCCCACACATGAAGGGAACACACTGAGCACATGATGTGAGCGGACCTTCTAGTGTACACAGTCATTCAGTACAGCTGCAGGCAGAGAGTAGAGCATAAAAACATGTCCATCGCTGCAGTGCCACCCTGCACGTCTGCAGCCTGCAGGAGAGCTACATTATCACACATCAGACACAATTAAAAGACTTTTCTGATATTTAAGAAAAACAAAAACAAGCAAGTGTAGCAAATTTCTAATTTATTTTCTAACAGGATATGAAAAAAAAGAAGGTAGGATATACACAAAGAGAGAGAGAAAAGGAGGAAAACTGGAGTGTCACAGTAGCTACTGCACAATAATTAAAGATGACAGCAATCTGTAAATGAATTCCACTATTATTAAACTCAGCTGAGTTGAGGATTGGTGGTCCAACTCCCTGCAGTGTTCCTCCTCTGGAAGCATTTATTCTAAAAACATTTTTAAAAAAAGTCCCCCTGGTGTTGCATTCTGGCATTTCTTTGGGATGTTTTTGTTTGGAGCAGAGGAGCGTCAGCCACGCTTAAGGTCCAGAGCTAATCATACTGAGGGAACATGTTAAAAGGAGAAAAAAAGAAGTCGTATTTACAGTCGAGAAAAGAGAGAGTTACAGCTGCTGGGGAGAGGTTTCCCCTAAAAGAATCAGACATGATAATGATCACTCCCCTGATAAGACTCATTGCATGTTTAAATGGCAACAAATGTTACCTCAAAGAGCGACAGCTTTGAACACGCTGCCACATAAAATGCTTTTTTTCCCCCCCACCTAAACACACAAATGATAAACCTTCTTTTCCAATTAAAAAGGTTTTGAACTCAGGCAAACCAAAAGGCAACAACAACAGCAGGACCAGCATCCTCTGGGCTGGGTATCCAGGTTCACCTTGTGTCGCCGTAAGAGGCTAAATCTTAATAATCCCCCCCCCCTCCCCTTGTTCAGGTACAGTATGACGGCTCCCAGACAAGAGTGTGTGCGTGGTTCCAGCACCGTTTCTTCAGAAGAATTTGACGCCCTTTCCGTCGTCCATGGTGATGATCTCTCCTTTGCCTTCTGTTTGTAAAGCCTGCAGCGAGCGCAGCAGCATCCACTCTTCTAAACCGTGAAACTCTGCACAAACAAAAGAGTGATTTACACCGTTTGTAAAACACCTTTCAAGACAGAGTTACAAGGTGGGAAACTTAAGACGGGAGCATTTCAAAATGTGACAATTTAAAAGTGGGAAAAACATGAAATACAAATAAACAACAATTTAAACTGATTCAAACTGGGAACATGCCACATGCTTACTGTCAGTGATTTAATTTAATCATGTCAATCAAAAGGCTTTTAAAAAAAGTGCTGAGTCATCTTTACAATCTGCTGATAACATACCTTCACCTTCCGTGTCATCACCGTTGGACAGCTCGTAAAGTGTAAACACAGAGTTGACCATCCCGTTTTTGGAAACCTGAGCAGAAAGCGGAGGGAACGCTCACTCTCAACACAACAACAGGTAACGACAGAAATCACAGAAACACTTTGAGGAGACGTTTCTTTTACCCCGAGCTCGGAGCGGACACGAGGACCGGACACGAGGAGCGGACACGAGGAGCGGACAGTTTAAAAACATCACATGAAAAACTCTTGATGAAGAACATCATCTCATATCTGCAGTCGTCATAAGTGTGATGTGTGTTTTAACAAGACATCCATTAAATAACATGAGTGTGTGAGTGTGTGTGTGTGTGTGCGTGTCTGTGTCTGTGTGTATGTGTCTGTGTGTGTGTGTGTCTGTGTGTCTGTGTGTGTGTGTGTCTGTGTGTGCGTGTCTGTGTCTGTGTGTATGTGTGTGTGTGTGTGTGTGTGTCTGTGTGTGTGTGTCTGCGTGTGTCTGCGTGTGTGTGTGTGTCTGTGTGTGTGTGTGTCTGTGTGTGTGTGTCTGTGTGGGTGTCTGTGTGTGTGTGTGTGTGTGTCTGTGTGGGTGTCTGTGTGTGTGTGTGTGTGTCTGTGTGGGTGTCTGTGTGTGTCTGTGTGGGTGTCTGTGTGTGTGTGTCTGTGTGGGTGTCTGTGTGTGTGTGTGTGTCTGTGTGTGTGTGTCTGTGTCTGTGTCTGTGTGTGTGTGTGTGTCTCTGTGTGTGTGTGTGTGTCTGTGTGTGTGTCTGTGTGTGTGTGTCTGTGTGTGCGTGTCTCTGTGTGTGCGTGTGTGTCTGTGTGTGTGTGTCTCTGTGTGTGTGTGTGTGTGTGTGGGTGTCTCTGTGTGTCTCTGTGTGTGTGTGTGTGTGTGTGTGTGTGTGTGTGTGTGTGTGTGTGAGCTGCAGCCTCTGTGGTGATTTTATTCCTTTTTTAAAGTTTGTGCGATCAGAGGAGCTGAAATCCTCTTTAACCAACAGCAGCTCTCATCACGTCTTCAGTGTGATTCATTTATTTGAATTTTCACTGTTTTTAAAAGTTGAAACAATAATAACAGTTCATGTTTGATCTGGTTTGTGCAGACTTTGTTGGTCTGATGCTGAAATGATCTTTGATAATATAACAACAATGATGTTTTCAAACTGAACAGCATCAAGTGACACAGCTCCATATTTAGCCCTTACTGTATGCTTGATGCTTCACAGAACACCTTCTTCTTTCCATTTCTCCTCAGTCAGCCCCACAGATGTACAGACGCACAACTCGGGCAGAAAAGCACAGAATGTTTCTGAAGACTGGATGACTCACCCACTGGTATATTAACTTTCCCCACTCCTCCGGTCGCCTCCACATGACTAAACACCGAGACTTGTTTTTGTCCAACCATTCAAGGTTGCCTGAAGTCAGGGGGAAACAATAATGATAAACATGTATTACTGTGCCACGTGAGTTCACAGTGAGATGCTGAGAGGAGCATTTTCACATCCCAACACTGAACAAACATGTTGAAAGGAAAGAAATATACCTTTTTTCCTTAGCTCCTCAAAAACAACTTGAATTGCTTCCATGGACAATTTTCCTGCACATCAGTTAAGGGCAAACCGAGAAGGGAACAAAACGTACATGAAAACAATCGACGAGTTGTTGCAAGTTTGAAAATGAAAGTGTCTTAACTTTCCCTCAGAATGCAAATGTAAAAAAAAAAAAAAAAGGATCTGAAAATACTCTAGTGTTGCTCTCTCATAACTACCAGGGTGACATTCATTCAACCGACCTGTGGCTCCTTTCACGCATGTCATTCCCTGCTCTCTCTCTCTCCCTGATTTCCGCCTCTATCCACTGTCCTGTCTCTAAATAGTTAAAACAAATAAAAAATAATAATTAGTTGGCAACAATTTAAAAGTCCATATCAAGTTGATCGTGTCAAAGCGCATTTTTTTCAAATGTTAAAAATGTGACATCTTCTCCGAGCTCATCTGCCGAGGAGTGATCCATCTCGCTTCCTTCCCATCTCTGCTGAGAGTTTGTGCACGCAAAGCAGCAAACCGGAAGCGTCAAGTAAACAAACCTTAGCCAAACAGAGGCGACCAAAGTAACACCATCAAATTCTAAAACGTCTGATGTCAACGGGGGATATCGCCGTCAAAAAAAAAGATTGCCTGCAAGATTTTCTAAAGTGGGCCTTGCTCATCGTGGCTGCACAAGGCCCGCTGAACTTATCTCTTTAAAGAAAACGTAACTGTGGAGTTCACTGTGAAAGTCCAAACTTAAAGCCACGCTTCAGTCCCTCCCTTTAAAAGTCTTCCCCATTGCACACTTCCTGTTAAACTACTCCGCTCTTCCCATATTGCTATAGTAACCACGCTAGCCATATAACTAAATCATCCGTCTTGTGCTTTATGTTACATTTCAAAGCTGATAACTTAAGGAGAGCCATTTAGTGACTGTGCAAAACAGGATCTGAATGGTCAAAAAATTGATAGTGGAAGCCTTACTACTTCTAACACGGTCTAACTCTCACAAAACGTTTTATAATTGATCTAATTAGATTCAGAGTCGAATGAATCTACTTATTAATAGCATGAATTCATCTTCATCCCTTGTTCTTTCACGTCACTTATCTCATGCTTTGCAGAGGATTGTGGGTCACAGGCTTGCTTGCATTCTGCTACATTCCACACACACACTCTCTATTGTCCATTAACGTGTCTCCTGCATCAAAAGTCTGTGTCCAAGTCTCGCTCAGTGTTTTTAAATGTCAACCTAGCTGCACAAACTAAATTCTCTGTGGGGACGACAAAGATGAAATTGTAGTTTAAACCGTTCAAATGTAAGTCAACACTAGTTACTGCAGCGGTATGGAGGGCAGCTAGCGAGGGGTCAAGTGTCATTCAATACTCCAAATAACGAGGCGGCCTAAGAAC